ACACACACACACAGACAACCTCTCGTCAATATGCGTTTTTTGCATTGTATAGCTGCAAAAAACGCATAATAAGTATCACAGAGGAAGAAATTAAAGAAATAAACGATGCAAGAAATGAAATTTCATAAAAAATGCAAAAAATACTCAAAAATATTACAATGCCATAAAATAGCTCAGGATCCTTTCACGCCTGGTCTGCGGACGCATTCTAGTAATGAAGATACCCACGTAGGCAATTTGGGTAGTCAAGGTGTTCTTAATATGTTTGTTTTCTTAGGCGAAATATCTTCCACACACGTTTAAGAGTAATAATGTTGGTCGTATTTAAGCATATCAAGGACATCGTAAAACGGCCAAAGATTTTTGTTAAGTGTTTCTTTCAGGAGGACCGTTGAACTGGTAATCCTTTCAGGAGCTGAACGAATGTAAGTGTCGCCAAAAGACTAACCATCAACTTTGGTCACACGAAACGAAAATAGAAAACTACATGAGTTCTTCGCCACGCCGAATAATATGAATACACATGCACACACATATACACATGTATACATATACACATACATAGACACACAAAAACATAATACACACACTGATCGAATCAGTTATCAAGTAATTAACCCATTCTTTAGGAGCAGCAGAAGATTAAAAAAATTTAGGTGGAAAAAACTACTAATTAGTTAATTGGGCTGATTTCAGTCCCAGTTCTACAAGTTTGAATGCATTCAACTTCAGCTCCCGATTTCATTCCTCATTGCGTTTATCAGTGCAACTCGAAAAAAAGACCTCTATGAATTCTTGAATTTCGCTCACAATAAATAAGCTCCCAATCGTAAAAATCTATTCTACACTATGTGGCTGTCTGATTGGAAAAATCAAAGGTATTAACCGTAGATTCGTGCTTGCACATCTGTTTCCTCAATACCTTCGCCCGTAATCTCGAAAGTGGTTGGTTTACCAACAGCAGCTCGTTGCAGTCCAATTCCTGTCAGTTCGGTATACCACGATTCTGTACGTTCAACACTGAAATCTTGTGCAGTAGAAACTTTTTTAGCAATAAAACTTTTTTACCACCTTAAAAACAAGTTTCAAGGCCGAATTTGCAGTAGCTGTCCGAAAGAAATACGCCTTGCATTTCTTTTTCGTACCACTATTAACCGCCTCCAAAATGCCACAGTGATTCAGCATAATTCCATGAATTTACAATTCTCGGAACAATTCACAGTTCCGTCAGGACTGACCAACTTCTGCTGAGTCATTTGCTTGACATGCCGATGATAGGGGCATTTAGAAAAAGAGTTAAAGCTTTTTTTTGTTTATTATTTCATCTCAAAAGTTCCACAACTCTCAAAAATTCCACAGATTCCATGAAAATACTCATCCACAGCCATAAACCAAATGCTTTGATTCTTTACGGACTAACTTCCTCTTTTCTCTTAGGTTTCAATCCGGGAATTCTCTGGATACGCCGACTTAGTCGAGAGCTGGTACTTTTGAAGTAATAGGTGCATTAGCATTTGTTTGTTTTTTTTTTTTTTTTTTGAATTTCAGAGACAGACCACTTATTTTTTTCGTTTTTTTAACAGAAATGGAGAAAAACGAAAAAAGAATGGGTGGTCAGTATTTGAATGATTTGTGGAACTTTTGAAAAAGCGATTTCAGGAGTTAGGCAAATCCATGGATTAATTAACCATTGCTATAAAAGCCCTTTGGATGTTTGCACATGGTTTACCAATTCAGCAAGTTGCACATTCATTGAAGCAAAATAAGGCGGAGGAAATCGTATTTAATCCCTTTTTTGAGGCGAAAAAAAAAATTTTGGACCGTCTGCTCTCGATGCTTCGAGTCATCCGTTCTTCCATTTCATAATTTGCATTTGTTTGCTGTTGTTGCTGCTGGCGGTGTTGCTGGAGTTGAGGATTTTTGACCTGAATTTTCCACGGTGACATGCGCACATTTTCACCGTTAAATTTCATCTCAACGATATGTGTTACTGCCTGCAAATATCAAACAAAAAATTAGTTGACTAAAATTTTAACATATATTTTCGAGACAAAAAAAAACAAGTGGTTATGCAAAAAAAAAATGATCCTTTCAAGCATTCGCCAAATAACTGCCCTAAACTGAACAAATGCCGTATATTGGTGTCGATTCATCATTAGTACTAATCGTAGTAATCATTATAATTATCATCGTTATAAAGGAGCTGAAGCATCAGCTCCTACATTATTGTAAGTCATTTTTTTCTTTCATATTTTCCCTTTTAGCAGCCCTCTCAAGTCCTTATTTCTGTTTTCTTATCTTACTTTCTTTGTTGATCTCTACTTTTCATTTAAAACTATAGCAGTTTTACTTTCAGCACACATTTCTTTAGTTCATTCATTATCTGCTTTTCTGCTACTCTGAAAGCTTCCTCACTAAAAACAGGGATAAACCGCACCAACGTAGAGATAAAAACTCTCCCGTTTCGATATAGGTGAGGGCTGGTATATAAGCAGAGCCCTCTACTTACGAGATCCTTTTCGACCAGCTTCGCTTCCGATTAGCTTTATCCCTCCACTAGAATCGTTCTGGTTTAGCTTTATCCCCGAACACAACAATACGACACAGTCAACGTTTTCATGGGCTTTATTAAGAAGTCTTGGCTCTTTATCGAAATCCCCTCCGATGCAGTGGTTCACTGCTGTATTGTTCAGGACCTTTGCTTGCCAATAAAGCCCTACCTAAAGAATCCTTCACACCTCATGCAGCAGAACGATCTTCATGTGTAGCAGGAAGGAAGATAATAATTCCGTCACAAAATCCCAAATTTCAAGTGATAAAATTTCAAAAACCTACGAATTAGCTAAACCACAAAAAATTTAAAAATTGTAAGGTCTATTCATACAAAAATATAAAAAAAATAAAATGCAATTATACAAAAAAAACAAAAATTTACAAAGGAAGGAAAACTCGGACTTAAAAAAATCTTATTGCAAAAAATGTAAAAGAAGGAAGTCTCGAAAAATGTAGTTTTAATATTTTCAGACCTTTTTAAATATCCATTTTTCACTTTTTTACCATTTTTGTCCCAGCACCTTAGAATTTTTCATAAAGATTCAAGAAATAAAGAAGACCTGAGTTGGAGTGAATGAAGCTAAATAATGACGTCCACCGAGATCACGTACTCGACATGACACACGTCCACCATTAATCATGATTTCCAGGTTACCCGAGCCTGCTGCGCTTGCGTCAACTGCAAAGCTACTTCCAGAATGTTAAGTTATAAACACAGAGTTAGATTTCAAATCCACTAGACTGTCTACGTGAAACTTCTGTTGCTGCTATAGTGGGTGGTTTGCAAGTAGTTAAACCAGTCTTTCACATTTCTAAATATCCCTCCCAGCGGTCACTCACTGGCCATTTGCTAGTGGTTACTACATATGTGTGTCTCTTTTCTGTATATTTTTCATATGATTTTTCAAATAAAAACTGATCTTAAAAAACACAGCTAATTTTTCAGGTGGGAGAGGGGACTCAGATTCTAAAGCCCATTCCCTCTTTCAGTAGTTCATCTCTCTCTACTTTTTTCCGCGTTTTAATTTTCCTTCACCATTCCGAGCCTCTGCAATTGAAACCCGCCCAGTACAATACCCTCCTTAATAAACACTCTCCAAATTCACGCTACCCAGCGAATGGGGTAACGTTCCCAATCAGCAACAGCAGTTTCCACGACTCGTGTATCAACTCGGCCGAGACAAGCCGAATCAAGATGTAGTAATTGACGAACAACATGTCTTATTGCCAACAAATCCAATCATTTTTAAACAAACTTTAAAGCATAAAAGTACCTAATCGCGGCGAAAACTGCGAGCAGTGGTTGCCAAATGAGGGAAAATGGGGTGGAAAAGTGGGGGATGTTGGTTTAGTAGAATCAACTGGTATGAAAGTGTTAAAAAAAACCCATGGTGAGGTATGTGTGGATAATTTATCTGGACAATGGAGACGAGGGCAACTGTCATCAAAAACGGGTAATATGAAAAAAGGGGAAGTATCGAAAGGGGAAGGGAGTACCATTAAAGCAGCAGAACGAGTATAATTCTCGTTACTCACTACTGTTACACTGTAGTGAATTGAGAATAGGTGGATCCAGGAGGAAGGGAGAGGATGGGCAGAGGCACCAGTGTTGCAAAAACCAGAGTCTAAAGCTATAGCAGAAGTAAGCTAAAGCTTAAAGTAACTCTAAGTAGTAGTGTTACAACTCTATTCCTAGTTTTTGCACAGTTCCAAGGTGAGAAAGAACTTTCCTCCCCGCCCCTCTCCCTCCCCCGTCCGTCCTGGATCTGTCTATGGAATGCTCTTTTGGTTCTTTGCTCATCACTGAAGCTAAACCACTGAAACTACCGGGATTGTGATGCTATTGGCATTACTAAGATGTAGTTATAGACTAAGTAATATACCCTCCAGTTTACTTGTATATCCTTCAGCTTTCTCAGCTGTTTTTCAGCAAAATTACTGAAACCACTCAAATTCTTCCAAAAATATCCTCTGGCAGAAGAATACGTTGCCTGTCTGTCCGTACAGTTATGAAACTCCAAAATCGAAGCTAGATGCTCACTTTCAAAGACGTAATCTCGTAATAATTCGTCCGCGTTTATAAATTCCGGCATATTTCGAACAGTTACCAGATCTGGATCGCCAACGTTGCAAACGAATGGACTTTCGTAGACACTCTGATTGAACAACCGAACATCAATGGAATGCTCTCCTGAAACCAACAATAACTTGCCATCAGGAAAGTGGCATCACTAACGCGGGATATCCACACTGGCGGTTCAAGCGATCCTGAATTTGCTGATCTAATGAAAATGGCTTTCTATGCGTTTTTGCATTTGCATATGTACAAAACACATAGTGTGTGTTTGTGTGTGT